CACATTTTGTTCATCTAGAGGTAAAAATTATTGTTGTAAAGTCTACTGAACATTAAACAGATTCTAAACAAATGTATAATCTGTGTCTAAGATTATGCTGATAATCTGATACATCCAATGTAAAACTAAAAATAAATAGTATTTTATTATAGTAATTGTATGATTTAGTTTACGTGTTATCCTAGTTTTTCTTCACTATTCAAAACTATGGATTTTATTAACGACGGTTACAAATATTAACTTTTTTTAAGTGAAATGGGGAGCGATTGGAACTAAGATGCATCGTTTACATTTGAAAATCGACCCAAAAACAATAACCCCTTACCTGAAAAAAAAATATAATATTATAAGGGTTTATTGATAACGACAGTACAACTTCAATACTAAATTTTAAAAGTGAATAGATGATCCTTTTTATTTTGGCCTGTGTTCATCAATTCATAACTATATATGCTTTACATTTTTTGGATTTGATATAAAAACAAGAGTTGTGTCAAGAGATAATATGCTCCCCTGATGTCAACATATTCACCAAAATCTCAATCAACCCAGAATCGACGGTGGCAATATATGATGAGGATTCCTTTATATCCTATTGAAATGTCTATTAGGGTCGAGATACCAGTACTTATATGATAGTGCACGTGAACCCCATTTATCTAATCGAACCACGCCGCAAAACCTAAGGCCTTAGTTATCAGTTATGTTGGCAAGACCACCCTGTTAGACGTAAGAGAGAGAAAAGAAAGAATATTTGACAAGGCAAACCCTTGACTGACCATTAACAGCATAAAGATTTTTTAATTTGAAATGATAGGGAAAGATATATGTGACTAAGCTGTTTGTAACGATACGACTTTAATTCAGTTATGAACGACATACCCAAGGTTGGTAAAAAAAAATACTTCAAGAAGCAAAACGGATTAGGCTTAACTAGGACTGCATTTACCTCAACAACAACCAAATTTCTGCTAATTAATATTAAATATTATTTATTCACATATACATGTACCTAGAAATGTTACATTGTATGTGACCGTGGCGACACACGCTTTATTCGGTTTTAGGTAAAATGCGAGTATTTTTCTTTCGGTATGAATGTCAAATGTCGAAATGTGTATTCCTGGACCATCTCTCGTTGACGCTCAAGGTGTTGTGTCTTATATCGCACGGGTAACTGTATATTATCTCACGCATAAATTAAAAAAAAAAAAGCAATATCAAAATTGTCAACTTAATTGAGGAATTTTGTCAGCAGTATCGAAACGCCAAATGAAAAATGCGACAAGGCTGTCGTTGAAATGATCCAAATACGGGTTTGGAAGGAGAAATATTGAGAAACGTTGTGGCGATGGTTGGGATACGTTTTTATGTTTTAAAGAACAATAGATAGACGATGTTCTCGTTAGGTTTTACATGTATCTTGCACAAGAAAGATAAGACGTGAGTTTGAATATGAGAGTAGAATGGAAATTAGTTGAGCCAAAGAAAATTTGGTGTAGAAAGTTGATATGTATGGTACCATTCTTAGCATGAAAGGGAGTGCTTTGCAGGAAGATATAAAAAACAGATATTTCAAAAATAGCGGAATACTTAAAAATAAGAAGAGATACCGCCACGGCTTGAACAATGATTCCGATATGCCAGGAATCCGACTTCCATCATTTGGTGTGCGGAGACATGATATCAATAACAACCAGATGATACAGACTGTTTTACAGCACACCTGGCCCGAAAAATTAGCTGAATTGATCGTGGGTATTAAGGCAATAAAGAAATCCCCTGCAGCTGTTGCGGTCAGTTAATTCTCTAGCAGTACACGTGTAAGGAAACGGCGTATTACAAACATACGCGGATTTTCGGTTCTTTCCAGTTGGAAAATGTGATTTTGGGTATAAACGTACATGTATATTTATGCAAGTTCAAATATGCTTCCTTTCTCTGTATCATAATTGGTATTTAAACGCGTGTGAGAGTATGAATGGTTGCTTGTCTACATACACGTGCGCACGCGTGCGTGTGCGTGTGTGTGTATGTGTGTGTGTGAGAGAGAGAGACGTGATATGTTTTCATGGCTCTTACTTTATTCTGCATTATATCATACCACTGGAACAGAATACAATTAGAAAAAATATGATGAAGTATATTTATTTTTCTTTTGGTAAGACGACAACAAAATCAGTATTTTAATATAAACTAACGATATTTGGCTGAACGCAATATTTTACTATCATTTTTTGGAAACCTATGATGAACAACTACTGCCCAAGCTTGTTGCACAATGTAAAAGCGTTTACTTTAAATAAAGACCGATAGTCAAAACTACAGAATGCAAACGAATCGAACTATCATGTCTTTTTCTTTTATTTATTTTTTATTCGGTCTAATCCCACGCCCATGTTGATCCTATCATGGTGAGCACGTGACTTCCCACGCTCACATTGCTCTCATTGCGTCCACCTGTCTAGCGTCAGACTGCTCCAACACGGTCCTTTGAAAACTAAGCGCGCACTGCGTCTCTCAGCCGTGTCCGCCGGGTCTCCGGGCCTCCTCTTGTTACGCTTTGTTGGGGTAGACTTTCTTTTTAATGGGAGCCGCGTTGAGTGAGCTAATAACGATCTGTCCCGCGATCAAGTTTAGGCACTGTCCGTAAATCAAAATAATCGCCAGCAGTTGCTTTAAGTTGTTCAGATATGCTCTGTGTAGGTCAAAATACCCACCAGAGAAAACGTACATCATGAAAAGTGGGGATGTTTTCGGTTGAAATGGAAAGGGGTGTGGCAAGGCAAGGAATGAGATCGACCTGGGAATGAAGCACTTCATCCAGTTGGCCTCATTAATTTATCGATAATTCGATAAAGATCGATGCGATGAAATAATTAAGACTGTCCGGAGATCGGTATTTCAGTGTTAAATCAACCTTAGCATTTCCACAAAAAGTGAAAAATTCGGTCACTTCGATCACGCAAAGATTTTTTTTTTGTAATATTTGCATATCCGATTTATTAATTATTGTTCCTCCTCACCCACCCACCCACAATCATACACACGCACACATGCACACACACACACACACACACACACACACACACACACGCACAATTTTCACTCGGTTTTTTGCTAGTTATAAATGCACGGCATGTGACTCCCCCTCTCTCCGTAGCTCTAACATTCAGAATGGTCACCCCCCCCCCCTCCCAACGCCAATTATTATTATTATTATTATTATTATT